TTCAAGACACACAAAATAAAAATTTAAGGCAAAAACAGCACTTTGCAACAATTTAATGACTTATTACAGGAGCGTCACAGCAGCATCCAATAACGCCGCTTCAGGCGAAGTCTCTCAGTGTTTCCGTTACAGATTCTGTTTACAAGAATTTATAACTAGGTAAAATTTATTCTAAGAAAACTTGGCAAATAAAGCTTTGGACTGGAACTGGCATTTCTTTCTCTACTTTTCCTTCCCCCACTTCCTTTTAAACTGTCACTATTCATTTTGTATTTTAAAATAACAGTTACATTTTTAAATTGTTGTACTACTTTAAAATGACTCTTTTAAGATAAAGTTTCAGCGGAAACTACATAATGGGTGGGACTGACTTAAATTTTTAAATTTGCTAAAAAATCAGCTTCAGTTTTAGAACTTACTTTTTTCATCGCTGGAAAACCTATCAGGTTTAATCACATACTTTAAAAATGATTATCACAAGTGCTGTGAAATGTGTAAACCTGGCAATTCACAGACTATATACCCCTGGGGATAAAAATACATTATGTGTTTATTAAAAAATTTAAAAATTAAAAAAAAAAGAAGAATTTACCAGCAAAAAAAAAAAAAAAAAAAAAAAAAAAAGATTATCACATACTACAATCTTGAAATAAACAGCTTTTAAAAAAAAAAATTAACAGTATTTGGAGTCTTCCTATGGGGTTCAGATTTATCCCCATTTTAAAATTCTGTGTTCCTGATAAACCCTTTCCTTCTAATGTTTCTTTCTAAGCCAACTAAAAGCCGCCTCTCATCCTGAACGAGGAAGAGAGCAAACAACGTGGCTGAACGGGAGGCACTGCGAAGGACCGACTGCATGAGCTTTTAAGACGGATTTAGGTTCTTTTACATGTCATTCAGTTTCCTTTACTTTTAGCTTTCTCTCAAATATATGGCAAAATACCTACACAAAGAGTGGTATTTCAGGAAATACAGTACACTTATTTTCCAGACCAACATCCAGCTTAAGTATGCCCCTATGGGATTTGATTTAATCCATGAGTACCTGATGAATGTATTATTTTTCTGACTGATTACAGATGCTAAGCTTTCCTTGAATGTCATTCTTGATAACTTATATTTATCAGGGTTACGGTGAAGTGATTTGAACTATAAAAATACCTGAAATAATTTATCAGTGTATTAGATAAGCCCAAATTCAAAATTAGAAAGAGAAAATGTTATACCAAATTGTGCGGCTAATTAGCAGCGGTCTGATTTCCACTCTCAGGGTTTAAAATGGATTTAAAGTAACTGTCCTTAATCTGAACCCAATCAAACAGTGCAAAAGCAAAAAGTTCAGAAAATAAAAGGCAAGACCAAGTAATCCGTACAATCTGGAAGATCAGCTGAATTCACAAGGACTCAGTCTTTGTACTGTCTCCTTTAGTGACTGCAGGCAATCTGTTATCCCACCTGTAAAGTGTTATTATTGCTTTCCTATTAACGTCATATTTTATAAAAGTACCATGATGATGCCAAATACTAAAAACTGAGGTGGTCTAATAGTTAACTAGAAATCCCTGCCCCAGGGAACACACATGTACATTATCATACATCCCAGGAACGGTAAGCATTTTGAAACACAGACATTTGAACTTTGTAAAGTTCTACCTAAACTGTTGATTCTTTCTTAAGAAAAAAGTTATGATTTAGGCAATGACTGATATTATTCATTCACAATGTATAGGCACATTAACATAAATATTGCACAAAATACGCCTCTAACTGAAACTCAGAGATATAAAAACATATTTCACTCTTCCTAAAGAACTCTGTGAGGAAATAAGACTCTGATTGTATGTACACTTTTCCTGATAATACTCTGACATTCATGAATAGTAGATTGCACTGCAGTTTGTAAACATTTTAAATTGCATAAACTTCTCATTGATTTTCAAATACAGTTTAATACTGCCTACTAAAACCCCTTTTTCTTTCAGCTAGATACTCTCACATCATTTACTTATTTATAATAATGTTTATTATCTTTAAAGTGTTTTCTGTTCAAGGAAAAGGAGTAAAATCCTATGCCAAAGTAGCCAATGTGTCTGAAAACAAAATATGAGCCAGAGAATTCTGGATGGTAAAACCAATCTTCTAGCCTCAGAGCAGCTTCATGGACACAGAAAAATGCTGCTCTCACACATCTTTTCTTCACTTGAATTCATTCCGGACTGAGCAGAGCCTGTATGCCTGCCTCAGTAGCATTTAAACTGTTCAAGGATTCCTTATGATTTTTACTAAATACATTAAGAAGAACGTCAACGCGTGTCCTTTTATGACCCGGGACAGGTAGTCACCTAATTAAAATAGGTATCATGAATTTTGACTTTAGAATGTATTCTAGATCTAAACGCTAAGGCAGGGAAGGTTTCCTATCTCACAGTCAATGATAGGAGCCTTTCATTCCTCCAAAAGAGTCCATTTTTAGGTCCCCAACAGAGAAGTAACACCTGACTGCTACAGCACACGGTGCAGGACCTTCCTCAGCTCAGAGCTCACAGACCCTAAGGAACTCCCACAGTACAGTGCCCGTTTGTGCGTGGCTGAGACGGAGGAAACATAGCCCACTCTGCACATCCTGCTGGGATAGGCTGCTTTCCTCTTTTCTGAGAAAAAGCTTCCCAGAAGTGTTATTGCTCCCACCCAGAAACACACAGAAAATACAAAAAAGGTTATTTCCAGTTCTTGGCCTTTAAATGATTTCAATATTGGTTCTCATGGTGGCATATTAGAAAGTAACAGTAAACAGTGCATATCTGGGAGCAAATCACATATTGAACCAGTTAAGAGCTCACTGTGATTAGGATCAGATCAAACATAAGAGCAAAACATAAGCAAGTTTTATCTGAACTGTAATGAATATACATGTTGCAGTAACATTAGAAAAGCACGGCAGCCCATTCCAAACCAGTGAGAATAGTTTGTGCAAATAGTGGGTCTTTGTGTGTTTGAACTCCCACCATGTAAGGGCAAACTCAATATGCATGCTAATGACCTACAATTACCAAATTAAAAAAGAAGAAAAATGCTAAAGGATGCCAGAGTAAACAGCAGGGAAAGCCACACAAAGACCCACTATCCTTTAACTTGTTACAAATAAATTTTAACTGTAAATTAGAAACATAAAGAAATAATCACAAGTGGCTCTAACATTCAAACGGAGTTAATGAATTGTGTAGGAGATATTTGATCAGGGCTGCCTGCCCTGCCTCCACGCTAGAGTCAAACTTGGATAGTGGGTCTCTGGGGTGCTTTCACACTGGAAGACAACATTGGGTCCTATAAAAAGAAAAATGAGGAATAAAATGAACATAAAGCAAATTAAGTGGGTGAGAAAAAAATTTGACTAGTAACATGCAACATCAACTAAACAAATCAGAACTATTAAAATCCTCAATCTTTAAAAAACATCCTAATCACATAATAAAATGAAAACAGTCATTGTTAAGGGCCCAAGAAACACAAATGGTAATCTAAAATTTAACCACTTTTCACAGACTCATATACTCCTGGCTGTTCTTCCTTTAGAACAGTTTTTATCTCTTCTTTGTATTCCTTATTATGTAAGACTTAATTGGAAAAGAGTGTTCCTCCACTGGAAAACAAGAGAAACAACAACGCACTTGGAAACCTGTCCCTTCACATCCTGGAAAAGCCAAACGTATCGCTGCACTGGGTGTCTCCAAGGTTCACTAGCCAAGAAGCTTCCAGACCCCACAGGTCTGACAAGTATCTTCCCCTCCCGGGGCCAGGGAAGGTACCTCACGCATGTCTAGTTAATGAGATAAGCGGGCAAGCTCTGGAAGCTGCCAAACCATCAGCAGAGCTTACAAACGGTCATGTAGATAGCCCACATTTTGGGGGGATGTTCAAACCATAAAAAACTCAACTCCTCCCACATCCAAATTGGGAAATTCAGTTGCTTTATCTAAAGGAAAGACTTTTCCCAGGATCAGAACTATTTTTGGAGCTACAAGCTCTACAGTGAAAATAATGCTCTAATACTTCAATTTTATAGTACTTATAATTTTATAGAATTTATAGTATAAATTCATAATACTTGCACTGAATCATAAGCACATCTCAGATTGACTGGGTTACCATTTATGTGTTCTCAGAAACTAAAATGAAAGGCTAATAAATATTTTAGATAATTTCACAATGATAAAAATACAAATCATGATGAATCATGATGTATTCTGTAAAAAACAAAAACAAAAACAAAACAACCAAAATCAAAAGGGTGGGGGAAAAGTGACATTTTATAAAGGTAAAAAGCATTTCTAAGTGCTTTTTATTCTCTAATTATTATAAATGCATGTTTATTGTCAAATATAAGAAAGGCTAGGCAATTACTAAGAGATAATTTTATAAAATACTGTATTTCATACTGTGATCTGGATCCTTGTTCTAAAAACAGTGAAACAGATCTTGACTCATGTATCTCTTATGGCATTAGGCATCTTAAAAAAAAAAATCACCTAATAGAGTTTTGCAAACAAACAGTTTAATCAGGTTTTTAATTCTCTGCTAACCTGGATGATGTGTAAATATATGGATATTAAATGAGAAGGTTGCAAAATTAATAGCACCTGTACTCTCAAAGGGTAATTTGAGTAGATGCTCTTTATTAACCAGAAAAAGATCATTAGAGGTAAAAAAGGATGGTGGTAAAGGGAAGTTGAAGTATAGACTGCTCTTTAACTCAAGAACCTGTAAAAGAGTTGGCATCTTTTCAGATACAGTCTAATAGTAAGGTCTAAAGCTAAGAGAAAAAGTATTTAAGCAGTCTAACTTTTGATTTTGTGAAAAAATTTCTTTCGCAATTTACTGCTTTCATCACTAATACAGACTTGCTAAGAAGAGTGCTGAGTTTAAGACATGCTTGGGGACAGAATGTGCTGCATATTAAAGCTTTTGTACTAGCTGAGAGCAAACAGTTCGGTATTACTCACACTGTTGACTTGGATCGGAGTCTGTTGTCATCTTAACATAGTTTGAAGGAAAGAGACCAGTCACCCCGTTGATTTCGCCCTGCCACCAGTCAGGATCATCTTTGTTCAAAACATTGATAAGCTGTCCCTTGGAGAAATTCAGCTCATCCTCATTATTTGCAACATAGTCATACATGGCAATCACCTGACACACTACCAGAAAAAGAACAAAATAATAGATTAATTATTCCTACAAAGATCCCATGTTAAAACTAGGCTAAAATTTCCCTTGAGCTGCTCTCTCTCACCCTCCTTCCTCCATTCCTTATTTTACAAAACAAGAATCTCCCAGATACAGTTAATCCACATGAACTACTGCACTTTAAGTATGAGAGCAGAGGAATTCCACCTTGAAAAATTTGAAGCAATTAAGTGGTTGGTTCAATTATCACCGAACAGTTGACTGTTTCCACACAGAACTTTCTAGAAAGGAAGTTCTCATTAGGTAGAATTATAAAAAGAAATAATTTTTACTATTTTTCAAAGTTTATGTTAATCTAAGAAGTTGGTGAGTTTCAACAAAACTTCTAGAAGCTGCGACACAAGTTAACCCACTGCCGTACCAGGATGAAAGGCAGGTGTAGTTCTTTCACTGCTTGGACCCAAAAGTTTAACGTGGCTGGCAGGAAACCATCCTTTCTGTCGCTTTTTTCCTCTGGCCTGTAAGATCAGCAAAAGGAATATGAAAGATGAGATTAAAAACAATTACTGAGATATAAACTAAAAAAGGCTGTGTAGTAAAGAATTTAGCCCTGTCCCAAAAGAGGTATGAACTCTACCTTTGGCTCCTGGGAGGTAATCTCTAAACCTGTGGTATGTCCTGACTGCTCAGTGTCTTATTTTCTCTGGGGGCCTTGACATTGCCAGACAGTTTAACAATGTGACTTATGGTGGATGCTTTGGGTCACATATTATGAACTCAACCCCCAGAGGGACTGGAGACTCATTCAAGCCATATGGGCAGAACCATGTCTATGTGATGGAGCCCCAGTAAAATCTCTGGACACCAGACCCTGAATGAGCTTCTTTGCTTGGCAATACTCGGCGGTATGTGTTGTTGCCAGGAGTTAATGCTGTCCATGACTCTACCGCGAGAGGACAATGAAAGCTCTGTTTTTGGAACTGTCCTTAAATCAGTCCCATATATCTCTTCTCTTGGCTAATTTTAACCTAAATTATTTTGCTGTAATAAACCGCAACTAGGAGAAGAATAATTTCAGTCCCTTATGAGTCATTCTAGTTAATTACTGAACTTGAGAGTGATCTTGGGGACCTCTAAACTTAACAACTGGTGTCAGAAGTTAGGGTGGTCTTGGGGACTGCTGAATTCTGCAGTGACCTTCCAGGTTAGTATCAAACAACCAGAAGATTCAATATGCATCTCCAAGTGGTGTTAAAATGTCATTGTAGAAGGCTATTAGGAGGCCTTTGGGCCTCAGAGTACTCTGCATATTTCACACAAATAATATTTATACACTAAAACCACTTTTCTAGAGTTCTCTTAGTAAGTTCAAGTTAACCTTAAAATGGTACAGTGCACAATGAACATCTCTTGGAGCTTTGTTAAAAATTAATACAGAGATCACAAATACAATTTGTGGAGAGCCATGTTTCCCATTTAGTTGGGTTGATCTTCAGAGCAAAATAGGAAGGTGGGATTTCAGGGGGTTATTCAAGATACTGAATTTTGAACCTCCACTGCTCTTTAGGAACTGTGTAAGGCTGATGTGCAAGAATGAAGCTGTGTTTATCCTCCACATTATAATCACATATCAATCTTACATAAAAATACAGCTATTATACCCCTCATCATCTTTTAATCTTAAAATGCTTTTTAGTTTTTCTAGTAAGGAACTTTTAGGAGAAAAGAACTCTCTTTCTGAATCAAGACATATGCAATAACGGTCTCTAACATTTTAGGAAAAAACTAGGTTCATTTATGCCTACATTTCCTTTCCTTTCACTGCTGTTTCAAAAGCATAAGACTATGGTGGGCAAAGTCCAACAAGTTTCTCAGTACATAGTCTGGATCATGTTTCTTTTCCTGGAGAGAGGCTATACCCTGGGCTTATCCCAAGCAAAGGTGATGCTATGCTTTCCTTTCCTTTAAGAAGGTGACCTGTGGTTTATTAAAGCAGGTATTATTGGAAAACAATTATGTCTATATAGAAAATTATTCTTCATACTGTTACTTATAATATCAGCTCAAATGCGCTAAAAATGAACAGGGAAAATACTAGAGGGAAAATAATACATTAAAATGTTAATACTGATTACCTTAGGTGGTATGATTATAGGTGATCTAAAAATTTTTAATTTTATTTTTTAATATGAACATGCATTACTTTTATAATGAAAATGATAAATGTTACTTCAAGGTTATTACCTGTAATTCCCCTTGCCACCACCCGCTTGAATTTTTCTTTAGGATTAATATTAACTGCCCTGGTGCAAGACTTAGTTGTTCAGAACCAGAAGCCACATATGCTGAAGTTACTTGAGCAATCTCTGAAAAGAAGACAGATAAGAAACTATGAATTCAAGACAATTAAAACACTATAGTAATTTTCCAACTTCATTATTATACATACCAGGTTTCTTGTTTGATGTTCCAGATTTGCTAGCACTCCCAAAACTCTGTAAGAAAAAGACGTACTGTTTTACCATTTTCTAATAATCCAGATGTAAGAATGCAAAGGTTACTAGGAATTAGAGATTTCTAATTCCCAGGACTGTTTCTTTAAATGAAGATCAAAATAACAATTAGTCTTTTTTTTTTTTTTTAATTTATTTGACAGAGATCACAAGTAGGCAGAGAGGCAGGCAGGCAGAGAGAGAGGAAGGGAAGCAGGCTCCCTGCCAAGCAGAGAGCCCGATGCGGGGCTTGATCCCAGAACCCTGGGATCGTGACCTGAGCTGAAAGCAGAGGCTTTAACCCACTGAGCCATCCAGGTGCCCCAACAATTAGTCTTATATTAACCAAGTAAGTAAAGAATCCAGAACATTAACTACGGGGAGATCTGGTCTACTAATAGACATTATACACAAGTGGTTGATGTTGGCATCCAATGATTCAACAAGAATAGCTTATTAAATGCATCTTTCCTGAATACCAAATGTGACCAGATACCTCTCATTTATCAGGTTAGCATCAATGCCCACCACCTACAACATACCTTAAGGCATATGTGAGTTTTACTGCTGCTACCTAGGAGTCAATGTTTTTAATTCTTTTGCATATTCCTCCTGAACCTGACGTAAGAACAAAAAAATCCATGCCCTGGGTAGCAACTATAACCTCAGTCTGACTTTACAGGACAGTTGCACCAACAACCTTTCTTCATTTCAGGAATCTGAACAAGTGAAGGGAAGGAACGGAACACCTTTCTTCTGTGAGTGAACACAGCTATAGTGGAAGTACTGAGGCTGAAGAGATGCTAGGCAAGGGCTAACGATTTCTGAGCACTTACACGAACAGTATTTAGAAAACACCATTTGTGTGTAACATATGTGGGTTACAGCCGATGAATTTTACATACAGTCACTTATTTAATTCTCACAATAACCCTATTAAGTATTATGATTATCCCCATGTTACAGAGAAGGAAACTGAGGTACAGAAAGGTGAAATAACTCGTCCAAGGCCTCTAAGTGTTAGAGCCAGAAGTCAACCTAGATGGTTCTCACCGGGCAGTTTGCGGATCCCTGGGGACGGTCCTTGAGCCCCTATCAAGGGGTTTTTTCATTAAATAAAGACCTTTTTCATTCACAGTATTAAGACGTTAATTGCTTCTTTTGCTGTGTTGACATTTACCCCAAGGAGTAAAGCTGCTGATGCCTTAGCATGAATCATGACAGCGGTGTGAAATTATACTAGAGGTCACAGTTTTCACAACCACATAATCACAGGACAAACAAAACCGTCTTCCCTTAAAAATGTCCTCAGTCGAGCAGTAAAAATGTTAAGAAATCTTAGTGAAACACGATCTTTTTAAAAATCCTGTGTGACTAGATAGAAGCAAGCCTACAGCGTTTCCGCAGCATACTGAATAGAAGACGGCTATCTGAAGGAGAAGCACTTGTGTGATTAAACTGTGAGCTGAACTGGGGTTTTCACTGGACGTTTTTACTTGAAAGAACAACTAAAGACAAACTCTTCAGACTCGGGATTTAGCAGACGCTTTCTCCAAGATAAAGTATGTCTGTCACATTAAGGAATACAGCTGACAGGACTTGTGGCCAATGATCCAATTCGAGATTTCAAGAGAAAATTGAAATTTTGGAAAACCTGCATCTATCACCATGAGCTTGGCAGCTTCAAAGTATATGAAGATTTTCCCATGAGATCTATGGTGATATTAACAAATAAATTTTTTTGATATTGTATAATGAAATGTGGCAATACAAGGAATATTTGCATAACTCAGGGATTCCATCTTTCCCAAATGACCAATGCATGGATTTAAAAATCCATTCAATGTCAAAACAGCGTGGTGAATTTTAATGTAACAGTAAGAAATGTTCACTGATGTGGCTTTAGATTCATGTGTAACTAACCTGTAACAATTTAACACTTACTAAGTTTTGGTATAGTAATATCAAAGCATAACCACAGGCACCTGAAAATGTTAATAAATACTCCTGTCTTCTCCCGTATCTGTGTGAGGTTGAATTTTCTTCACATATGTCAACCAAAAGAATGTATCACCACAGACTGAATACCGAAACAGTGAAGAATCTAGCTGTCTTCAAGGTAAGCCAGACATTAAAGAGCTTTGCAAAAATACAAAACGATGCTACTCATTCTAACAAACTTTCTTCTTTGAAAATACATTGTTGTTTTTCATAAGAAGCAAGTTATTTATATTACCATGTAATGGGTTTACTTTTGTTACTTTATTTTTTAAAAGATTTTGTTTATTTGTCAGAGGGAGTGAGCACAAGCAGGAGGAGTGGTAGGCAGAGGGAGAGGCAGGCTTCCCGCTGAGCAAGGACTCTGTCCCACCCCCAACATGGGACTTGGGATCATGACAAAAGGAAGATGCCTTAACAGAGTGAGCCATCCAGAAATCCCTACTTTTGTTACTTTAAAATAAGTATTTTTAAAATTCCATGGTTTTAATTTCTAATATGGAAAATGTAACTTTGTGTAACCCATATATATATGTATTTTAATCTATATATGTATTTTTAAAAATACATGAAAGATTTTATTTATTAGAGAGAGAAGAGAGAGCAAGTGGGGAGTGGCAGAGGGAGATGTAGAAGCAGGCTCCCCAACGAGCAGGGAGCCCAACGTGGGGCTCCATCCCAGAACCCTGGGATCATGACCTCAGCCGAAGGCAGATGCTTAAGCAAATGAGCCACCCAAGCATCCCCCACCCATACAGTTTTAAAAACTCTTTAGCGTGCCCAATAATTTTTTAAAGATTTATTTATTTATTTATTTATTTTAGAGAGAGAGAGAGAATGAGTGGAAGGGGAAAGAATTTCAAGCAGGCTCGCCGCTGAGCGCAGAGGCTGACAGACACAAGGCTGGATCTCAAGACCCTGCTGAGATCATGACTTGAAGTGAAATCAAGAGTCAGCCGCTCAACTGACTGAGCTACCCAGGTGCTCCTAAAATCCCCAGTAATTTTTAAGAATGTAAAAAGTTCCTCAAATCAAAGAGTTTGAGAACCGCTGTATTGTACGGCACTAGTGGTAGGATAAAAAGAGCTGCACCAGAGCTGCAAAGATTTACAAACTCCTTGAAGGTGATCCCTGGGATCTGGGACTCCTTCCTAGCTTCAGTAACCATGACGCCCAGCTCTACTTTTGGCTCCTACTCTTTAGAAATTTCATGAAATCCTGTCCCTCTTATCTAACAGGATCCCCACAATAAATTCTATTTAACTGGTACCACCTTCAGTGGTCTCCTTAAAACCAAAGCTTGTCTATACATGGGTCTCTATTTTCAGTATGAATCTCAATACACAAGAATGGAATAATTTTGTTTCTGTATCAAAATAACTCTACCTCTTGATCTTTTGGCTTGACATAATTTGACGGAAAAATTCCAGTTCTATCTCCAATGCTTCCTGTCCACCACTCTCCATCTTTCTGGGTCACCAATATTTCTTCACCTTCAATGAAAGTCAAATCTCCAGGTTCTACACTTGAATATGAATAAAGTGCAATATACTCTGTAGGAAACAAAACAAAAAGAAATGAATTTTGGTTGTCAGATTATAGAAAGAAGAAGATTATGTTAATCTCCAAACCTTGTGTAAATTAACTAAAAAAGACCTTGTAAGTAGGAAACCAAATGTAAAAAGATATTAAAGTAGAAAAAAGAAAGAGGCAATTATTTAATAATTTCTAGAAAAAGATTATTTAACATAAAGCTTTATCATAGGGTTTCTTCTTTTCCCTACTGTAGCATCATCATCACCACCGTCTTATCACAGAGAATCCAAAAACACAAATAGGTAGAAGTATCTCTACAGAGTTAAGATATGAAAATAGTTTTTCAATTTCCTTACACAAATTATATTTTAATATGCTAAGTTCTTTTCTAATTCTTTTATATATCGTTATGGAAATGCCCAATATTCAGCTGACATCAGTACCAGTAGCCAAGTTCTACCACAGTGACCTGGCTCCTAGCACAGTGCTTGGCACAGAGTAGATGCTCAATATATACTGGCTTCTTTGGGAAAATATATTGGCTTTGGTTTCCATCCCTGTCATTACTGCTACTTAGAATAAACAGTCAATGACCTGGTTGTAGAAGTCTCTCTTAGTTTCCAGTTAATTTTATTTGTCAACATGGAATTTCATCTGTACATCATAAACTAGAAATGACTAGGAACACCATCTACAACCTACTTACTGTTCATGTTCCCAGTATTACTGGGTGATTTAACAAAACCAAAAATGCTTACAAGGTTTAGGTATGCTGCAATTAGCAAGGTCTTCCCCAAACACTCCTTCCTCCCTTCCTAGACTCACTTCACAGCACTCATTCCACAGTGAGCCTATGTATGGGTCCAGTCTGGCTGGTGATCTGAGCTCCCTAACCTTTCACAGCCATGCCCTGGCTCTTAACTTTCCCTCCGTCCACAAGAGCTTTCTCTTCCCTTGTCACTATGCGAAATTCTACTCCTTGCTTAAGATGATCCAACACTGCCTTGTCTGTGGATTCATAGGTCCTACTCAAAATTCAGTTCTATGTACTCATTACAGAATTTCTTACAGTGGTTTGCCTATACTCCCCAGTCTACTGTGAGGACTTGGGAAACTGTGTTTTATTCATCCTTGTATTTTTCAGGCTTTAGCACAGAAACTTTAACATAGTAGATACTGAATAAATGGTTTAATTTATCATTAAGCTAATCTTCTTGAGCAGTAATGTAAACATAAAATGTACTTCTACTATTCAACTCATTTTACAGGGGACGTACATCATTCATTTATAAAGCTATGTAAGTGTTAAATAAATGTCAGAAACTTAGGGTGGATAATCTTTCATTTTTTAGTACATTGAAATAAAAAAATAAGTTATTAGTCAGCCCAAAGGGCTATAGAAAAAAATTTCTTTGTAATAATTATGATAAAGTGTACCTTGATTTCAAATCCTACTTAATGATTTATATGATACACTGTAATTAAAATGCAGTTTGTAAGTAAATGTATTAAAATCGCCTAAACTGGATATCTAAAATAACAGGAAAACAAAAACCTTCATGCTATCTCACTGTAACATTTTTCATTTATGATCTTATTGAGTCTATGCTGAATTTTTATAGTACTGATTTTCTAAAAGTGCCGTATGTTTTCTATATTCTCAATATTCATATGAAATAGCTAAGGGGCAGGTTCTTCTAAGCCTACTTTAACAGCGAAGACATGGAAACAAGGCAAATAACAACTGTGGGAAGTCAGATAATGAGTCAATAGCTAATCTGACTCCCATTTAATTTACAACTTGCCAAAAACTCACCATCTCCAACGGTAGAGGCCGCAGAGGTAGGTTTCTTGTTTATAGCTGCATACAAAGCTTCTGGTCTGCCAAATAAATACACAAACAGATTTTAAAAAATAATGAAACAAAGACATCAACAAACAAAAACCAAGAAAGGTGATCAGCAGGTGTTTGCAGTACTTTCTTTTAGGGCTTTCTAAAATTAATTTAAATATTGTCTCAGTACACAGGCTAGAAATATTCTCATAACACAAAATCGTTAGGGGACTAAGAAGGGCCTAGTTATAAACCTCTAAATTTTTTAATGAAGTAATTTCAACACGATTTATAAATAGTTTTTTAAAGTGTGAGATACTTTGCCTTTCTAGAGGAATTTAAAAGACACAGTGCTTTGGTAAATGGACAGTAATTTAGTAAAGCACACAGGGGGCTTGGCTTGGTATAGGGAGAAACAAGAAGAACATAATATATTAATTTTAATATTTGTTTTGAGCATAGAACTTTATTTTTATATTTCAGAAACAGTAAAGCTTTAATTTCTAATTTAACCCAAGAAACTGTCTTTAAAAATGTGGAAGACTGTCGTACTTAAGAACTAGACATCTGTAGGATGTACCAGTGCTCCCCAGGACCCTTGAGGAAATTATACAGTAAGGCAGTTCTCAGGGAACAGACTGGAAACTTACTACAGCTCACGGTCACAGCTTAAGAGACTGCCTTGTTTAAGGCATGATCTCTCCATTACTGCAGGCTTTTAAGTTGCATGCCTTATCTGCTAGAAAAGGTCAGTAACTGAATGAAAAGTTAGGGGGGAAAAGCATTTAAACTTACTGTCTTTGCACTTATGTCTTCTACTCCATAAAATTTTATGGTGTTTAAATAGATAATTCCTATCAAGGGCCCAGCTCAGTGCCAATATGCACCCGTCAGCTCTGAATTGTTATCACTTACACAATTTTAAGTCTAAAATTCCATGTCAGTCTGAAGAGTAAATTTCTGCATTTGAACTAAAAATTCCTACAAAGAGTCTCCGCACTGAGAAGGTTTTTAAAGATTAATTTACTTTTTTCATCTCATCAATTAGAAAACTGCAAAGTAGGTAATTCTATACAGCCTGACAAAAAAAATAGCAGAATCCGAACTCAAGCCTCTTGATTTCCAAAGACCTGTCTCTTTCGTTCAATCAGATCACTTTTCTATTTAGATCAATTTCCATGAAAAACACAAGAGACAGCTGCCCATTGCTACATTAGAGTACTTATTTCTTAAACATCTTAAATATGTCTGATGATCTGACTCCTCTGCACTGGGAAATAAAGGCCAGAGACCTTGTCTAATTTTCACTTGCTGTTCTCTGAAAATGGATTCAACTGACTGTTCGTTCACTGACTCCTCTGCTTATTCACTGAGCTAACATGACTGAGAAGCTAGTGTGCACCAAGATGACATGAGGCAGGGAAAAACTGAAAAACAAACAAACAAAAGACATGGACCCTGTCCTCCTGGAGCGTATGCTCTAGTAAGGGATATGGGTAAGATAATGCGTAACTATAGCCCAGTCTCTTCTGAGCAGTTAGAGAGGTGTGATCTTCAAGGAATTCTGGAGGCCCAGAAACTGCAAGCCCTCCACTCGGGCAAAGTAGACCTTTATTTAAAAACTGACAATGCAAAATAAACAAGGAAGAAATGCTCTAAAGGAAATGAAAAAGAACTTCTCTAACTGACCTGATAGCACAAAGAAAACAACAGATCTCAAATTTTAAGCACTTTGAGAATTTTAGGAATCTGAAATAACTAGAATAAAAGATATTCTAAAACTGGTATAAATATCTGAAGTGCACTTTTTTCACTCCAGGAATTGCCCTCCTGATGGTCAAACTCAAGCGTAAATGTTTTACATTCTACGGTGGACTCACTAGGGAGAACACCAACATCCACATCTCATGGAAACACAAAATGCTTACTCTTCCCGCTTGACTTCACTCCCAGGGATGATTTTGACATAAGATTTTGGAAACCATCCTCTTCCTCCATGTACCTCCCCAAACCACCAATTTTCTTGCTGCTCCAAGACAGTAATAATATCATGTTTTGAGAAGTTCAAGTGGTTATCTTTCTTTGCAGTCCAAGAACAAAGGGCCTGTGCCTTTAGGTTTTCTACAACCTGTCCCTGTGAATACAAAACCACAAAATTAAAAAAAAAAAAAAAAGTAACCGTGATTTCTTTTTCCTAATATATAACTTATTAACTGTTTAAACAGAGACAAGTTTGGTGTGGTGGTGACTTAAGATAACCTTTATCTATCAACCGATTTAAAATGATAGATGACGGAACATTTGAATAGCCTTCTGTTTGTTAAAGACTGAACACCTACCATTCAAGGAAACATCTTGGCATGAAGGAATACTAGATTGGAGGAGAAACACTGGACACTCAAGAAATGTTTTCATAAATCCATCAAGCTGACATCATGGAACAAGTGCAAAGAGCTACTACAGCCCTTCCTATCCTCTAGTTCCTGACACCCCCTCCCTGCGGTCACCACAGGTCAAAGGTCACGCTACTAACCAATACAGATAGGCTGTGTTCTCCTCCCTCCACTTCTTAGCTTTCGCTCCCCAACTTCCTCCTGGTATTCTTACTCATTCTCCTTTCCTTGCTCCTCTTGGAGGAAGGAGTGTTTTGTTGATAAGGCTCATCTCTTTACCTATGCTCTAAATCTTCTACTATACCCTCCATTTTCCAAAAATATTTTGTAACATCATGAAGTGCCTCCCTAAAATAGCTAATCTCGCCACCTCTCTACTTAATTTCTACTTCTAAATTCCTTAAAGACAGGAACTCAATCCATTTCAATTTAGGTTCTGCACCCACCACACTACTGAACCTCTTCTTGACAAGGTCACTGATAACATCAAAGCACAAAAAGCTTCTTCCAAACCCATATCTTCCCTGATGTCTGAACAGTGCTGACATTGCTTACACCCCTGTCCTTCAGAAAACTCACTCTCTGGTGCTTGATGGATTCCATCTTTGGTCCAGGCCCTTTCCTTGCCTGTTCCCACATGACTTCCCTAAATTATCTTATTTATGTCTATGCCTTCTCAAATCTTAAAAAAAAAAAAAAAAAAAAAAAAAGATTTTATTTACTTATTTGTCAGGGAGAGAGAGAGAAAGAGAGCACAAGCAGGGGGAGTTGCAGGCAGAGGGGAGAAGCGGGCTCCCCACTGAGCAAGGAGCCGGAGGTGGGACTCGATCCCACTGGGATCATGACCTGAAGCCCAAAGGCAGAGTGGCTTCCTCAAATATATATCTTAATTATAACTTTATCTCCTGAGCTCCAGTCTTGTAAGTCAGACTCTGCTTATGCGGCCTTCCCACCACGTTGTCTCTAAACCAGATACCTAAGTTGCAGGTGTGGGATGCATTTTTGGAACCCACGGAACCCACTCCTCTTGCAATGCCCACCAAAGACAATGCCATCACCTTCCTTCCCATTACTCAAGCTAAAGATCCTGAAAATGTATAGAAGGGAAATCCATTTCCTCTTCTCCATGTTTTCTCTCCTGTGGCATGGGTTCACGTCATCCTCTCGCTCCCCAGCTACTGCAGCACCCTTCCTTTCTTAATCTCCTTCCTTCGCTTCCTTCCACTCATCTAGTCCCTATACTACTGGTGGGGTTAGGTTTCTAAAATACATACCTCTTAGAAACTTTCAGGGGCTGCCCACTGCCAAGCTGCTGGGCACTGTACCAAACATTTCACAAACATACCTCTACCTCTAACTGCACTTCCTGACCCTTTCTCCACAAATCCTGTACTCTGGCCACACTATAAATAATTCTCATCCTGCAAACTCTTTGTGTTAACATGCCTCACTGATCTTCCCCAACTTATTTTTTCACAGGAATAACGTTCTTTCTCTGTTTGCTACAATCTTGCTTATCTTCACCTTCCCACTCAAACACCTGGCTCATTGTGAACCGTGCTCCAATTTCCACAGACTGAATGAGATCTGTCTCAGCTGTATATACCTCAAGACTTTGCAGAATATCTTTATGACAATACTTCTCATAATTTACAATTATTTATTTCTTTTTTAAAAAAGATTTTAAAGATTTATTTATTCAGTTGAGAGAGACCACAAGCAAGCAGCAGGGTGGGGGCAAAGGGAGAGGGAAGAAGCAGACTCCCCACTGAGTAGGGAGCCCAAAGGTGGGCTTGTTCCCAGGGCTTGGAAATCATGGCCTGAATCGAAGGCAGACACTTGACCGACTGAGCCACCCAGGCGCCCCTACAATTATTTATTTCTGTGTCTGTCTCATTAGATTATGACTTCTTAACAGCAGGGATTTTTTCCCATTAAATTTCTAGCACATAATGAGATGCCTGGAACCAATGGTCACATAATAAGCATTTTTTTGAGTGAAGGCATATCTCTGGACTCTATTGTGATGAAGTCTGTGCTTTCTTTTCAATAATGTTCATGTAAAAATGCTTGATCTGCAATTTAGATGTAACAGTTAGATGTAATGGTCACATCTAGATCAGAGGATAAATATACATAACATAGTTCCCACACAAATAACTTTTTTAAGAACAAAAAACCAAAACCTCCCAAGCCCAAAAAACTTCTTACAGCAACTATGAATTAAGAATAATATAATCAGACTTATAACAATGACATTTTGAGCTTAGAAACCTTAACTAGTAATAACTGGATGCTATGAAAATGAATCACTGGGAAACGTCTAAGTAATAATTTCTTTACATCACACGTGGATAGTAAGAATAGAAACCAAATGCTACAAACTCTGATTAAGAGTAAATGATGCCTTTGTAAAAAATCTTCATTCTATTTTATGTGAATAGAAGCAATGTCAAAGAATAAAGAACACAGGGGCGCCTGGGTGGCTCTGTCAGTTGAGCGTCCAACTCTTGGTTTTGGCTCAGGTCATGATCTCAGGGTTGTGTGACTGAACGCTGTGTTGGGCTCCGCACTCAGCACGGAGTCCGAGTTTCTCTCCCTCTGCTCTTTCCCCCACTTGTGTGTGCTCTCTCTCTCTTCCTCTCTCTCTTTCTAATAAATAAATAAATCTTTCAAAAAGGAAAAAAAAAAGGATAAAGCACACAAAATTAAAAATACACACCTGTCCATGAATCGGTGATACAGATCCAGGGGACACAGTACGAGTAAAAGCTGACTTTTTCTGCCATGATGTATTAACAGTTAGGTTTGTAAAAGATACATTTTGATAATCAGTCACTGATGCTGGTTGATTTGAAGAAAGTGATCTGTAAATACAACACTTCGATATAAGTACAGTTAATCATTTAAAATCTAGTGAAGTACTACAAATTTATCAGCTTGTATATAATTTACTTTGTGTTTAAACACAATTTGTGGGAAAAAAATTCATGAACAAAGTACTGTCCTACATTTTTATTTATTAAATTCCAGTATGAAATTTGGAACAAAAGGTACTCTTGGAGAGCCCAGCACAGATTAGATTATGATTACGTAGCACGCTGACACAAATACCTATTAAGTATTTATACATTACCAAAAAAATGCATAAACTCCACTGTTCGCAAAAACTTACTCAGAGGAAGTTGAGGTAGCAGATACAGATACTGTAGGGGGAAGTAAGGCCTTCTTAGGAGACACAGATTTTTCACCTGATGGCATTTTTTCTACGTAGTTGCATGGAAACCAGCCAAAATTTCCTTGAAAACTACCATAAAGCCAACCAGGTTCTCCTATGGTTTTTTCATCAACCTATGGAAACAAAAACAAGGGTTAACAATGGTTAGGATGCCATGGATTTACAAAGGAAGGAAATGCAGACTACTGTATAGTAGCCGCATTTTCAGAATTAAGCCCATTGAACTAAAGAGTTGATGCCATTTTCTACAAATTAATAGGTCACTCACTATCTCTAATGACTGACAAAGTGCCTTTTTAAAATTTAATTTTTAATTCCATCCAAGTTAAATATGAAAATAGTTTACAAAAACAAACAGCATTCCACATGGTTTATGATAGAAGACCCTGTCACTCATTATGCCCTGATTTCCACTCCTCATAGTAACTTGCCATTTTCATCTGTTTCTTCTGTATTACCTTCTTTACTTCTAAATAACGTATTTATACTACTATTTCTTGAATGTTTCAATTTTCTATTGGCTTTTGATAATGGAAAATCAACATTTAACTGTCTTTTACTACATCTTCTTATTCTATCAATACTGCTATCTCAAAATTTTTGGTTAAATTATATTTAATGTTTACATTATTATGACTGTAAATAAATTTTCACATCTGAATTATGCACTATTCTGATAATTACACTTACTTTCTTGCAAACTTGTTATTATCCTGAAGTTAATCATTAATTTTTGTTTTGCTTAGTCTTTTCTGTTCCTCTGACAGTCTTCTTGAACTCTCTAAGAGTTCTGAATACTATTTTTCAACTGGTAACACACATAGGTGGTTTATAGTTTCATTTTTTTCCTCCCTTTAATTGCTGAGTAATGTTACATTGTATAGATGTACCACAATTTTTGTTTAAATGCTTACACCTAGTGATGGACATTTGAGTGGTTTCCAGCTTTTGGCTATTACAAATAAAACCATGAACGTTTGTGCTCGTATATTGATCTTGTATCCTGCAACCTTGCTTGCTAAACACACTCATTAGTTCTAGCATAGCTAGCACAGCTGTGTAGTAACTATAAAATGGTGTACTGAAACAGAACAAAAGAAACCCCTGCTGAAGTATCATCCTGTAGATCTAGATTAAGACTACTTTAAAATAGCCAATCCAGAGCACTAAAACTGAAGACAAGAACGTAACAGACCCCAAGGAAGTATGCAACCTAAAGTAGCATGCTCAGCAATTTATCTGATTTAAATGCTGGTCTCAAAGCACGGATCACTGACAGTTATGAATACTGGCATTCGAATACCAACTTCCTCCTTTTTCTACAAACTGTTAAAAGTCTACTTTCTTTAATATTTTTTCCTAATATTTTCTACCGTTCCAAGAAGAAAAGGCCCATTCGGGGTGCCTTGGTGGCTCAGTGGGTTAAAGCCTCTGCCTTCAGCTTGGGTCTTGATCCCAGGGTGCTGGGATCGAGCCCCACATCGGGCTCTCTGCTCAGCAGGGAGCCTGCTTCCTCCTCTCTCTCTCTCTGCCTGCTCTCTGCCTACTTGTGATCTCTATCTGTCAATAAATAAAATCTTTGAAAAAAAAAGAAGAAAAAGAAAAGGCCCATTCATTTAATCTTTAGAATTAGACCAAGTTTGCTTTGTCAGGGGTCAATTTTAACCAATTTCATATCTGTTATTTATAGCTCCGATTAATTTTTACTTGGCAATTTACACAGAGAATTAAACTAGAAATTTTTATATAGTTCGCACAGGTTAATGGAAATTATTACTTCAAAAACAGCATTATTCCGTATGAACACTAGAAAAATAGGTTGTCATGGAAAATGTTGCCAGGGCTCAGTAGAATTTGTAATCTTTTTCACTTTCAAACAAACCTCTTCTGCTACCGTCATCCATTAAGTTGATTAGACCTTGCCTCCTATCTTACCAAGGATAGGGAAACCCTCAGATCTGAGCTCACCTTCTAACTCAGCAAAATGCATTTTTAATAATCCCATCCACCCTTTCTTTCAGTCCTCTAATCCCTAAGAAGTATCTAGTCCTTCCACTATTCTCTCCTCCTGTGCTCTAGATTCCAAGCCTTCTAGCCTTACCAAGAATCTTCCTCATCTACATCTACTAGTCAGAATAGAGAGGTCTGCCAGGGAGACATGGGGTGCCTTCCTGAGTGTTCTGTGTTCTATATGTTGATCTGAGTGGTAGTTTCACAGATCCACACATGTGCACAAATCATTTGAGCTGTAAATATACAGTTGTGCACTTTACTAAATCCAGTATCATTAATCCTTTCCCTCTCTGCAGATCTTCTCTATCATTATTTGAACTTGCTCAAGCTTCAGCCAAGTTAAAAAAAAACAAACACCAAAAAACCATAAAACAGAACAACTTACCTCAACCTATACACCTCACTATCATTTTCTCTCCCTTCCAACTTTCAAAAGCCAAGCTTCTTCAAAGAATTTTGTATATTCACTGTCTCCTCTTCCTCCCTTCCAGTTTGTTCAGGTCACTAAAATCTGGCTTCTTCCCCACCACTCCATTCAACTAATACTGTTTTCCTCCAGGTTAACAATAGTTGTGATACTGTTAATCTAATGGTTATTTTTTTTAGTCCCATCTTATTTGACATGCAGACCCAGACCACTCTTCTCAAAATTCCCTCCTGCTAAACTACCCTCCTGGCTTTTTCCTACCTCTCGTTGTTTCTTTTAAGGCTCCCCTTCCTCTAATAATACCTCCAGTGTTCATGTCTCTTGGGGATTACATCATCAATCATCCTCTACACTCATGTCAATTACCATTACAACATAATGATAACACTCAAACTGGCCTCCTCTATCTCTGCCTGAGAGCTCTCTATATCTCTGGATAGCCAGAGGTGTATCCACCTGCTGCCTAGAAATCTGAAACTCACCCCAAATTAAACTCATTGTAACTCTTACTCCAATTCCCTCCTTCTGATCTTCCTCTCTTAGTGAATGACACTGTTATCAACTAAGGTGTTCAAATCAGGCACCTGTAACACATGACTCATTCTTTACATCAGTGATTCAGCACAGAACACAGTCGAGAAACTCTAGCTAACTCAATGTTCCCGTTGTCACTGCCACCAGGCTGGCGTGATGACCACGGGCGAGGTCTGCCGTAGAGCTGATGGCTTCCCACCACGTTCCTCCCTCAACTGCATTAGAACATCTGTCTTTCTCATCGGACTATCAGCTGTTTAAGGGTAGAGACCGTGCCTTGTTCACTATATTCCTAGCCTAGCACAGCCCTCAAAAAATATTTGTTGACAGAGTAAATAAAAGATATAAGCATAACTATAAGTGGGCTCCTGACCACATAGGCTTCATTTCTGGACCAAAATCATCATCATCAACAGGTGGAGGATGAGGAAGGCCACCAGACTGTGGCACTGTCAGTGGTGGCAACGGTAACAGAAAGAATGGGGACCATCTCGAGTGTTTGAACAGATGTTCTAGTAAACCCTATGCCAAGTATCACTAAATATTTGCTACGTAACAGATAAAATACACCAAACTGGTGACCATGCAGGGAAAAAATGAAAGCAGGCACCGGCTTGGTAGTCCAGGTAATAGTGCCTTAATTTATTAAGAAGAAAACTGAAGCAGAGACTAAAACCCAAGTTAGTATGCTTCTAAAGCCTGTATTCTTTCCATTATGTCACAACAGCTGTATCTAGTGCTATTCCCTGCATCTTCCCTTATTCATCCATTTTCTGTGGTTTGTGACTATATCCAAAGGGCTTTTGTTTCTAGGAACAAGGGACTGCATCTAATTAGAGCTACAGAACCTGCCTCCTTCAATTCTTTTAATGTTGCCAGAAAATAATCAGCTTCCCCAAATTTCACTGGTAATTTATTAACAAAATCAGCATCACCTTTTACGATGTGAAGCAATGGCACAGTGTAAAGAACACAGGATTTGAAAATCAAAGACATATACTTGCAACCCACTCCGTCACTGGCCTGCTGACTGTTACCTATGGTGTAAGTCTAAGCTGCCTTACCTAGAATATGGCAGTGATAATGCGCAACTGTGCAGGAAGTTGTTAGAACCAAATCAGATAAAGATATGCTCTCTAAATGATAAATCACTACGTGAAATTATAATCATTATTATTATAGAAAGTTATACATTTCATTGTATTAAGCTTATTCGTGAACAAAAAAAAATAGTTTCCTACCTGTATTATATCCCCAGAATTAAAACTCATCTCATCATGGCTCCTGGCTTCAAAGCGATACAATGCTTTATAATTTACCAAAGCACTAGCTGGCTCACCTAGAGAGAAGATAATGGTCATTATTTGCTACTTTCATGTACATACATCTTTATGACTCAATATAAAGAACTTGTAAAATCAAAAGGAAAAAAACCTGAACATCAAATAGTAAAATGAAAATCCATTTGACACAGGCTTGTTAGGATTTAAATATCTTGTATAGTCACAGAATCGATATAAAAGCAAACAAGGACGTTCATCTTCAGTAAAGTAGGAGGCAATGAAACAAAGCCATGACTTGCAGGGTGTGCCACGCGCAGGGACGTCGGGGAAGGCAGAGGAGTGGTGGCAGCTAAGCCGTGCAAAGCGCAAGGAGGCCAAGCAGCGAGGTTTGTTCTGTGGCACTCAGGATGTAACAGGGAAGAAGAGGCAGAGAGAGAGGTCACAGATGAGGTTAGCAGTGAACAGGGTTCAGTGAAGAAAGAGCTGTCGATTAACCAGTATGGTTCTAAAAGAAAAGCAGAAGAGCTCACAGATACACTACCCTTAATAAGATTAAAAATACTTAACTTTATTTGCAGAATAAATGCTTTGGCTTACAGAAATTTCAACACATGTATCATCAATAAGGATTCAAATATTTGTATAACCAAAAGAAATACAGTAGTATGTAAAGTATCTTAGGAATGGATACCGAGCTGTATCATGAACAAAACATACCTTCTGAGAAAATTTCAATATGCAAAGACTTAAAATTTTACTGTTGTATCATTAAAATAAACAGTTTAGTTAACACTGGTTGAATAAACTACAACTGTTTACTTCAATTATGAAAACCATGCCAGGGTCTGTTCATAGCTACTCAATGATTATGATCCTCTTCTTTTCTGCAAGTTGTTTTAAGACTTCTACCCTCAGTCCGTTTTAATAAAGCCTATGCACTTCTCCAAGTTTAATTTAGAAAAAGTTTTTTTCTGACTCAAAGGTTAACAACTGTTTAAATTTTTTTTTTTTTTGCTTTTCATCATAATCTTTTTATTCTTATTGCTTTCATTGTTCTGTCTCAGAAAAATCAAATCTATTATTTTTATCCTTATCCTTACACTGCTTCTCCTCCAATTTCCGCTCCTCTTCTTGAACTTTCTCTTGTGTTTTTTCTTCCTGGAGTCGCTTTTGTTTTTCTTCTTCCTCCTTTCTAAGACTTTCTCTCCATAAGTTTTCTTTTCCTTGCTTTGCTTTCCTTTACATAAAAAAAAAAGAGAGAGTTTTGCATAATGTTCTAAAATTTTTGTTACGCAAAATAACAAAATAAAAATATCAGATCTTATTCCTCACAAACTTTAGGAATATTACATATTTCTATGTATTTATATATAATCTTATGTATTTATCATATAGCAAAGACATTAGCATGGGGTGTGGAGAAACAGTGGGGATCATGGATGAAGGGGAAAACCAATTAATCAGGAAAGGACCCTTGGTCAAACAAATGAACTGGGGAGTAGGACTGACAATTTCCCATACCCTTAAATTCCCTCCTGTCAGCCAACTTCCCAATGCTGAGAAGAAAGGGTAACTATTCAGAAAATAAATACATAAGGTATATCTAAATGTTCTTCCTCTCTCTCCCGATTTCTTACTTTCTCTTTAGATTTTTCACAAGGACTGTATTTCAGCTCTTATTTCCACTATCTAGCTAACCCCTGTTTTCAGGATTTGGTCATTACTGTGGAAACAGGAAATGCTTCTGGGCAGATTACCTACTTTCTATATTACCCTTTTGGAAGTCTTTTTCATTGTTAGAGAGCAGGGCATGTTCCCCTATAGGTCCACGCTTCCGTACGTGCTTCTATGACATTTGATAACAGCTGCAGCTTGGTTTCTAGCTGGGCAAGATGGTCTATGCCCCACCAAGGAAGACATCTTGGCTTAATTCCATGTCTCAATTCCCATATAATTCCTGAAACTACAGACCCACTTACTCAGCCACTTTTCTTCCTCATTCCTGGACTGTCTTATACTCATACTCCTGGTTCATTATCCCATGATTAGCTTCCCCTTGACCCTTTGCAAATCCTCCCATACCCTCTCTCACTGCAAAGAGTGCTTCCTCCAGCACTTTCTGTGACTGACATCTGGCTCTCCTTTGAGGGCCACGCTTCTCTGAGGTGCTTTCTTCATCTCAGCCACCATTCCTTTTCCTGGTGAGTTCCTCCATCGCCTTTTCCCACGTTCTTCCACACTAAGGTGACCTAATCTAGCCCCTACTTGAATTCCTAGAGATTATAAACACCACAGAGTATTTACCTCATGTTTACTGGGATAAAGAAAGGCTAGAGAGTTAAAAGAATATGAAATTAAATTTTGATAAACTTTCTTATGTGTCAGTGCATGAGAAACGGTTCAGAGCCAGAAGATACCTCAGAAGCTGGACAAAGGGCAAGGAGGCCAAACCTACACTGAAAACCTGACTCTAACCAACAGCGGGGGACAAGGAGGGAGCCTTCCTAGGCAAACGGCTAAGAAATCAAGTTGTTATTTCTAAGACTCAGCTCTGGACTGATTCAACATGCGTGTCTGCTCTGATTTCTTTCCTCTTCTATAGCAGGATAATATGTGAGGAGGATGAATGAAATGAAAACGTGTATTATTAATATGGCTTTCTGGCCTAGAAAAAATTGTGAGCGGTGATGAAGAGACAGCAAGACAGTTGCAACATATCAGCAGAAAATTCTGACACAGTGACTAGCTATGTAGTTACTGTACTATTCCCTTGCGCAATGTTCAGTGGCAGTTAAGTGGTTAAAAAAAAAAGACTTCTTAATTTGAACTTCACTGTCTCTGCTTTTACATTATTCTAGTGTTTCTTGTTAGTGGCCACAAAAGTAGGGGCCTCGGAATAAGGAGTACTACAGAGATCTGTTGGGCAGTCTCCAACTCCTACTGGAATGATGAGAAATCAAGAACAAGGAGTAAAACCAGAGTGTCCTTGCATCACAGTCAACAGCGGCCACTCATTAAGTGTGCTGGGAGTGGTTATTCTGAAGCTATTAAAAATAGAGGCATACTACATGGTAATGTGTCTTTCTTGCCTTCCTAGTAACTGTTAGCTCCTTCATGGGCATTACTCGTCTACTTATCTCCAAGGCAAAGAAAAGCTGGCTCCTTAGTTTTTGTTAATTATACTGATTTCTGACGCTAGAGAACTTGGAGGGGGTTGCAGCTAAGGAACATGTTAGAAACAAGACCTCACAACAGAAAAAAATTATGCCGAGTCTCTACACAAATGCCTCAGATTCTGCAACTGTCTTACTTCTTGCTATAAATGGAGGCAACTGATAAGCTCAGTGGCACAAAGAGAACTGCATGAACATGGCATTATATACTCCATCTCATCACCCCATCTTATCACTTAATAAAATTAAGGTATTTGGTTTTTGTGATCTTTCAGCAAACTAACAGATTTACAATGGAGAGACGGAAGTGATGAATGTAAGACATTTGTGCTTGGCTTGCTAGCTACATTATTTTTACTTATGAGGCATGCATCAATATTTCTATTTCTCAGGTGGAGAAATGGGGTTCAAAAGGTAAAGTGACTTAACCAAGGTTATCCAAATAGTAAGTGGTAGATCAAGAAGTCTAGCCCAGGTCTGACTCCAAACCCCCTATTTTTCACCAGTGGAACATAAAATTGATTACTATAATCTCAGTCCCTAAAAGAAAAACTGAACTTCTAAAATTGAGACTCTAATTAGCATCCAAGGATAATCCTTTTATTTCCCTTAAATTTTCATAGTCAAACTAAGATACGGGCAACAAAATTAGAATTCTAATAGTAAAGTAGTATATTAAATTTATCAGCTGTATTACCTGATAGACTCATCTTCTAGTTTCTTTTTCTGTATTAGCTCTGACCGTTTTCTTTCAATTTCCTTCAACTTGTCACGTTTGATTTTATGAAGTTGTTCAAGTGCTAACTGCTGTGTGTTGTAGCTTTCTCTCAGTTCCTAAGGAGAAAATGAAAATAAGTCAATATGCCATTGATTTAAATATTTTTGTCTTATATACTAATGTGGCCATTTTATTAAGAGACAAAAATCTGAAAGCAAGTTAAACTAAAGTAAGAAGAGTAAAAGTTTAAAAAATATCTAGATGATTAAAAAGTCCTGAATACAAGTATTTAAGTCCTATAACCACTGAGGACAAATATATGGTAAAGTCATGTACTTGTGTATTAACTCTTTTCTAAGGAATAAAGATAAGCCAACTTCATAAGCCAAATCTTTGATTTGATACTTTATTTTCAATTAAAAAAAAAACCCAATCCATTAAAAACATGGGAAAACAAGGTGGTAGCCTAGTCAGTTGAACATCCAGCTCCTACTTTTGGCTGAGGTCATGATCTCGGGGTTGTGCAACAGAGCCCTGCATCGGTCTCCATGCTCAGCCTGGAATCTGCTTGAGATTCTCTCTCTCCCTCTCCATCTGCCCCTCCCCCTGCTCACAATGGCATGCGCTCTCTCTTGCTCTCTCTCTCTCTCGAATAAATGAACAAATCTTTTAAAAAAACATGGGGAAACAATCTGCTTATTATTTGAAGAGGAATTTTATTCAGTCATATTTTTTACATATGTAGGTTGACTGAGTACCCATAACTTATCCAGTAAGGTCCTGAACTAAACACAGAAGCAATTACTAAATTGCTTCTGTGTTTAGTTAATTATTAAATAATACAGCTGAAACTAAAAATGGAAAAGATAATGTCTACCTAAAATCATGACTACAGTAACCCAAAATAATGAGAAGTACTGCAAACAGGAATTGAAATAAATACTTGCTTATTGAGCATCTAGTTCTACGTGGTGTCACAGAGATGCACAGGGAATCAAATCCAGGGCCTGCTGGCTCTCAAGTTTTTGTCTTTAAAGAGCTTGACATCTCAAAGCAGAGAAAAGTCCCCAAATGTGGGATAGAGATAAGCACCTTAGCAGAAACCTGTGGTTACTTGTTCAGCATTTTCCTTCCGTCTTCTAACAGCACCTTTCCCACAGCACTTGCCCAACCCTAATCTGCCACTCAGATTCCACCCACTCCCACTCAGGTGCAGTCATTTAATCTAGGCATAACTAATCAATCACAGCACCTCACCTCCCTGGCCAGAATGACTGGTCCAAAGGACATACACATGGATCCAAGCTGAGCCAGAATCCTTTCCTGGGATTCAGATAGACTGAAAAGGGGAGAAAGAGGTCTTTTCTTCTCTAAACTCATTAAACTGGGATAAGACAAATCTGGAGCTGTCCCACCAACAAGTGACGCCACTGGGGTGGAAATGAAATCCATACAGAAAAGAGGGAAGCAAAGACTGGAGACAGAGGGAGGGAGGCCTGAAGGAACCGACTCCCCCAACTGCATTCCTACGCCTAGGAACTGCTCCTTCCTAGTAGCACTTGTATGGACTCAGCAGTCCTGGGACTCTTCCAGTAACAACTCCTGTGAGCTTAACTATTTGAAATGAGTTTCTTTTACATGCTATCTACAGAATCTTGAACAAGAGAGTTTAAAAAGACTGGATTAAGGAAGAGGAAAAAACACCAAACGAAAAAACCCTCACAGAAACCTAAGATAATCAAGAGGTTTCATGGCAAAGGTGGACCCTTCCACAGTACAACTGACCCTCAAATAATCAGGGTTGAACTGTTTGTGCACACCCATACACAGATTTTTAAAAATAAATACAACAGAGTACCATAAATGGGTTTTCCTTATGATTTTCTTAATTTTATTTTCTCTAGCTTAATTTTAAGAATATAGTATGATATACATACAATACACAACATATGTATTAATCACTGTTATAGGTTAGGTGCCTGGTCAATAGTAGGCTACTAGTAGTTAAATTTTGGGGAAGTCAAAAGCTGTATGCAGATTTTCAACTCCATTGGGCATTGGCGCCCCTAACCCATGTGGTTCAAGGGTCAACTATATTTGGTAGAATGTTTTGGTAAAAAATGTTTTGGGGTATCTACCCACACATAATAATAAAACTAAACCAAAAAAATCCTCCAAAACAACCTCCCCGCAAACCCTAGAAACTCAATTTCTTTCCAGAAATAAAGTATCTTATAAGTGGATCCTTTTAACTTGATTTAAGTGATAGATATGATGAGTACAATGGGGTGTAAGTCTGAAGACTACATCCAAAGTGTCTGAGATCAAGACTTGCAGCTTTAAGCCAATAACAATATAAATACTGCATTCAGCAAAGTTTCCACAAATCTCAGCTTCAACAGTTCTCTTGGTCACACCTTTCTCTGAATTCTACTGAAAACCAGAAGGATATGGTGGTTACAATCTATGGAGGAGCAGTCTGGCTTAGTGATAAGGACTCTGGGAACATCAGTCTGAATCAGGCTCTGTCAGTGGTGGGCTGAATAACATCAGGAAAGTTACTTGCAGTTTCCTCATCCGTAAAATGCAGTTAATTCTAGTACATGCCTCACAATACTGTTGAGGATTAAATGGGTTAGTACCTATAAAGTGCTGGAGGACACAGAGCAAGTTCATAGTAAGTTTAGCTATTATTATTGGCTGAGGTCATAAAGAAAAAGAATTGTAAGGTTAAAAGAGAGTAAAGAGGAGCCAAATTAACATCTGATCTTCTTACGGCTGCAAGATTAGCCCTCCAACGTGTCCTGTAAGATACTGTTTCAAGTCTTCCTTTACCAGCCCATTCCTGCAGTGTCTGAGTTCATGAGCTGCCCATGCTCCCCAAGGCATCCTGTGCCTTCCTCTATCATAATCAGCATCTTCTGACTGTATGGTTCCCTCCAACACTGGACTGAGTTTCGTGACAGCAGGACTGACTTTCATCAAGGTATCCCCACCCAAAAGGGTCTGGTATTGTGTGGATACTTAATTAATATTTCTTAAACAAATGAGAATGCATAAACAATAGTCATACACATTAATAAGATTTGAAGAGCACTATTTTTTTTTTAAGATTTTATTTATTTATTTGACATAGATCACAGGTAGGCAGAGAGGCAAGCAGAGAGAGAGAGGAGGAAGCAGGCTCCCTGCTGAGCAGAGAGCCCGATGCGGGGCTGGATCCCAGGACCCTGGGATCATGACCTGAGCCGAAGGCAGAGGCTTTAACCCACTGAGCCACCCAGGTGCCCCTGAAGAGCACTATTAAGGCTTGCCAGAAACTTCCTCTGCCTGACTGCAATAATCTTGGCAATTCCTATCACTAGACTCATTCCTCTGGATTAAGTCACTGCTCCAGGAGGCCCTTGTTCAATAGATGAGTTAACTGAGGACAAGTAAATTAATCAGCACTTGTGGACAATACTGTCGCAGTCTTAAGAGAATGACAGATCTTTTTCAGGTTAAGGAAGTTCTATTCTTAATTTGGTAATAAGTTTTTCATGTTTTAATCATGAATGGATTTAAAATTTTCTCACATTTTTTTATAAAAAGATTTTATTTATTTATTTGACAGAGAGATAGAGAGCACAAATAGGCAGAGAGGCGGGTAGAGAGAGAGAGAGAGAGAGAGAAGCAGGCTCTCCGCTGAGCAGGGAGCCTGATGTGGGTCTCGATCCCAGGACCTGGGATCATGACCTGAGCTGAAGGCAGCTGCTTAACCGACTGAGCCACCCAGGCGCCCCTCACATATGTTTTTTGCCTCTAATGAGATAAACATACCATTTTTCCCCTTTAATCTGTTTATAGGGCAAATTACATGTTTTTGTATGTCAAATCACCTTTGCATGACTAAGATAAATCAACTTTTTTGGTCATTACGGATTATCCTTTTTTATAAATTCTACATTTGTCTTTTTAATATTTTTTAGAATTTTCACCTCTATATTAAACTGGCCCATAATTATCTTTTCTCATATTGTTCTTATATGTTTTGATATGTCTCTGATAGCTTTGTATTAGTTGGGAATAATCCCACTTTTCTGTATTTTGAAACAGCTGTGTAAGACTACACTTGCTCTTAGCCAAAAGGCTGAATGGCAACAGAAATAGCTATGTAAGACTAGATTTACTGGTTCCTCCAGTAAAGACTCTGCGCTTCTCTTTTAGGAAAGATTTTAAACTATAGATTTAAAATATTTTATAACAATAGAGCTATCCAGATATTTTATATTTTGAGTCAGTTTTGGCAAGTCGTAATTTGTTCATCTACATTTAGCATGCACCAGCAGACTGAGGGGGAGAGGGAGAGAGAATCCACAAGTAGATTCCCCACTGAGTGCACAGGCTGCTGCAGGGCTCTATCTCAAGACCCTGAGATCATGACCTGAACTGAAACCAAGAGTTGGTTGCTTAACCAAATGAGCCACCCAGGTGCCCCCACATGCTCTTCTAATGTTTGTAGCATATATATTTTTATTTCCTTTTCATTCCTAATTTTATTACTACCTTCTTTCCTTTTAAAATTAGTCTTGCCAAAGGTTTAATTTTATTAATCTTTAAAAGAGTCAAATATTGGCTTTCTTGATTCCCTGTATTTAATGTCTTTTGTTTCATTAATTTCCTTCTACCATTTTTGCTTTATTACACTAGTCTTTTTCTAGCTTCTTAAGGTGAAAGCTTAGCTTATATATTTTCATCTTTTTCCCCCCAATATAACCGTTTATGGTCAAATTCTAATAATCTAGGTTTAATTTCTGCTCTTACACTTACTAACTGTATAACCTTGGGCACCTTCTGTGTCTTAACTTACTCCTATGTGAAATGTGGAGAAGAATAATACTGACCTACATCACAGGGTTAATGTAAGGATTCAATAAGTAAGACATCTTAGAACAGTGTCAGTTCCAGAGAAAGCCCTTAACAAACCCTAGCTACTATCAATACATCTTCATTCATGAATCAGCGAACAGCTATCGACCCCTGATACGACTGAGGAGAAGTCTGTTAATTTACACTACTCCCCACCACTCTGTTTCCCAGTGTTGATATTTACTGGTGGTTAATCTACTTAGCACCT